CTTTGTGTTTCCCACGAACGGCTTAACAAGGATCATTTATTCTTATCGTTTGCATAGTCTAACCGTTGGTTGTAAGTATTAAACAGCTATCGAAAGCTTGCTTCTTTCCTTTATTGACCAATCAACCGTAAACGCAAACAATTGCCGCCTTTTGTTTGATAGGCTCATGGCCGACCCAGTGAGCGCCGTTGCCATCAATCCCTCAGGCGACTGGATTGCGGTGGGTTCCGAGGAGCACGGCCAGCTCGCTGTCTGGGAATGGCGTTCCAAATCATGCCACCTTCGTCTGTCGTCGCATGCAAATGAGATGACCGGTGTCACCTTCTCTCCAGATGGCCTCCTCTTAGCAACTGCTGGCCGCGATGCCAAAGTCAAAATTTGGCAGGTGGCTAGTGGACGGGCGCTGGTAACATTTTCAGATCATCAGGCGCCTGTCACACAGGTCGCCTTTCCTGCCACAAAGCCAAAAGTTGTAATCTCAAGCAGCCTCGATGGTACCGTTCGGGCGTTCGATCTCACCAGGTACGATTTAAAAAACTTAAGTTACTAAGTTGCCAAATGGAAAATAAAATTACATAGAAAAGAAGGCACCCTGGTTATCCAATAAGAAAACCGGGTTCTGTCTTGAAATTGCAATAAATCAGTCATTTCTTGGTTAGAATACACTATTTGTTGTACAGTTGGTCGGATATAAATTCTCTTGCGTCCTTCGGCAATAAATCTTTATTTGAAAGTATCCGGGCGAGTTTGATGCTAAAACGTAGCATTTGCAATGTTTATATTTGACTACGGTTATCAAAATGAACTGTGGTCTCAACTATTTAATTCAAAGCTTTATGAGTATATCACCTTTCATCATCGCCAACCGCCTAGCATCATGTCAGTCGAATGAAATGACCTAATCATAAATTTCAATTAGTTCAAATAGTAGGAATTGCTTTATGCAAACATCACATAAGGCACGTATGCATTTGATAGCACTGAGGATCCTCAAAGTACGTACCTGTTTATAAATACTGGTCAGATGAAAATTTGATCGGATTAAGTTCTCCTACTAATGCTTACAAAGGCAGCCAACAGCCATGGCTCATCAGTTAGAATGACTACATAATCAGTTTAAGTTGGACCGTCTCGTCGTTTACAGATGGTGGTTCACTCAGCCCGGGAAATGAACAGTTATGTTGCGTCGTTGTAGCTTAGTAGACAATTCTTCAACAGGAAAGATGGTCTCGTCGAGCACTGTTCGCTTAAGCCGTCTACTGACAGATAGGACATCCATGCATCGCAGCATCTGGATGTGTCTGATGAGGCTTCTGCCGCAGATGCCCATGCGTCATGATCTGCTTTCGAAATTTGGCCTATTTATTGATGTTCTTGAAAGGATATTCTAAAGGATACAGGATTGCAATGGATAATTTACAAGGGCTGTCCGGATGATATTCTCGTGCGACTCGGGGGTGGATCTCACAAAGCGTGTTGCAATGAGTTTATCTCGCAGGATTAGATCATCGTCGATCGACTTTTTAATCGGACACACCGACCACACTAGCAATGCAGTAGAAATGCCTGCGTGCATGCCGTATCGACAGGAAAAAATGGGCTTTTCCCCTGTAGCCGAGTCTGTGACAAATTCTGGAAGTACAGCACTATTTTTAAAGAAAGATTCCATGTTTCTCTGTTTTTTTGTAACGCTAGTCTCTATTGACAGAAGCAAAAAGGCAGTGTACACCGACCATGATCAAGGCCTACGATCAATAAGTGGTAAAAGGGTCACTTATATAGTAAAAAGAGTGGCGTCTGCAAAGTCATTGGCTTCGCCAGCATACCTACTCGCACAGTGTGCTCAGTATTGACCACGACACTTCACGGTCGTAAAAGCATCAAGGTCGGCAAAGATCTCTGCCTCTGGAACAAGAACATCGTCATGGCAGAAAAATCCGTCCGCAGTCTGCTCTTGATTGCATGGTCATCGAATTCCACAAGGTCAGCTTATGGCTGAACTCAACTGAAGCATGAGTGTTTCCGTGCGGGTTACCCTCATTCACCCACCCTACTGTGGAGGTGAAAGGCTTGAGGTGGTCGACTGTGTTGTCTTCGTTTGCATTATGCTACATATTCGTCAGATGAGACTCGCGCGCAGATGATATCCGATTTTTTTAATGCAGTGTAAAATGTACGAAAGATTGGCATTCGGGCTCCTAGACTCAACTCGACCCTGATAACTTCTTACGACTACTGCTCAGCATCAATTCGAACACGTCCGAACACAGAATTTAATCACTGAAATAGTGGAGAGTCGTCAAACCGGATAGCTTGGTGCGACTGCGAATTCGTCTCTACCGTCATCTTTGAATCCTTGTCTGAACTGAAGCCACTGCTGCTTCTCCGGTTATCATTTGGAAAAATCGATGAATTAAAATGTGATACCTAGAAGAATAGGTACTAGACCCAAGAATAAGTGGTGTTCGGAGTTGGAACCCCAAGCGTACAACGACAGTGGCAGCTCTGGCCGCCGTTCGCGGTGCCTTCAAGTCTATTGCCTGTTGTTGACGTTTTAAGACAAGGAATCCTCCTTTTCGGCGCTGTTGGCACCCGGGAAATTTATTCAGAGCTTGTAAGCTTCACAAAATCCGGCTATAAACCGTCGCCCGACAGTAGTTTTGTGGGGCGACTTCGTAGAGGTATGATCTGTTCCGGTGCCGGTATTCGAAGATGAACGTCTTCGCCCAGCCTTCCGGTTCAACGTTTTTATCTGCTGTGATTGTACAGAAGAACGGATGAAGTGTCACCTTTTTGGTAGTCGATGCGTACCATATCATAATGCCGACGTTACTTTTGACCATCCTTTGGGGGTTCCCAAGCAGCACGCCTTCACGTTGGTGGAACCGACTGTACCCATCTC